AGAAATAACATTCAATAGTAACAAGCCTTTGGGGTTGAGATCTAATAACTATCTCGTATACATTACGTGACATGAAACTTATAAGAAAAAGGTACGTTACGCAAAATAGTCAAAGGATAGTTGGGATTTGAGGTATTAAAAGGCAAAATCACTATTATGAAGTATTGCCTAAGTTCATTGTTAAGTAAATGAGGCATATATATTATGTTCCGTCATGTGGATATGCTACACATAGTGGGCTCACACAACCCTGTCTCAGTTTTTAGTTGTAAATGAATTACAGAATTTAAAATGCTTCAAATTTTTCATGTAGCATGACTAGGTTTCACGTGGAGAATTATCGGGTGAACGGAAACTGGATAATCACATCATAGTTTTGCGAGTGTCTCAAGGTGTCGTTAGCAGGATGTGGAACGTATATCAATATTATGATTGCTCGGACACCTTGACAAGAAAGATGTTTGTCCACAACAAAGCAGAGGATAGCAATCTGTTGATTCTGGCTTGTCACAATCGTATAGTGCCTTCTCCCACACCGAATCGGATGTTCGCAATTGCGAATGAAAGCCACGATGACAATGTAATACAATTTTACAGAAACTTCTTTGGTCCGACGTGTATGCCAGATGATACGAATTTCACTCACAACAAGGAACGAAACAACTCGCCTACGATGGTGTCAAGAACGACTCCAAATAGACAAAGTCATGTGAAGCAATATTTACTTTTCCAGATAAGTGGAGTTTCACCCTACAGAAGACAGCAAGCTTATGTCCATTGAAGGGGATATGGAACCAGATAAAACCCCATTTTCATGCTACAAAATGTATCACTAATATTAGAGAGACTAAAATTGTGACTCTTATTTCAGCCCCATGGCAGTATAATTGGCCACAGTTTCAAATTAACGTAACGTTAATCTCACCAACAGTATTCCTTGAGGAAAGAGGGACTGATTTAATAGAATGATGTGCATGTTCACTGGACATCAAACTCATCACTCATGTATGGCGTGCTCTTGGGAGACCTACTACATCCCATAAAATGATTAGACAGTGAATATGCCATGGAAATAAGTCTTTTAGTTTTAGAGAAGATATCAATGATATTTCAGCACCAACGCTTTGATATTAAGAATGCAACATCACTACCCGACTGCCTTAACTTTTCGTGGTGACTATATTCCATATTGAGGTGAAATGTCATGTAATGTAAGGATCTGAAATCACGTCTACTCAATGTTCATTAAAGAGCTATATTATTACAAATTTCTGGTATCGTTTCATTATTTTGTGTATTATATATTCAGATATAGGGATTGAGATTTTTCCTTATTTTTTTTCAAAAGTTTCTAACTACGTTAATCCTTTGATCAATGTTATAGATAATGTGCTGTACGATTTTTAGCCGCGGATGAGTGGCTCATATAACAGATCTGAGGTTTTTATTGTTTTTATTCAAGTATAAACTTTCAGCTCATAGCTCTGTCATCACTTAACCTTTTTGAGATCTAATTACAGTTTTCGACTCAGGAGGTCAAACCCTTTCGATTGATGTATTTGACCACGCCCAAGATCTCATAGATTAATATATTATAATCCTGCCTAAAATAATTTCAATTCTAGGGTAGGCTTGTAGAAATCCTAGAATGAGTAATACAATCGAATCGAGTATACGCGCACAAAAATATAGTTAATACAAAAAAGGGGAACAAAGGTCTCATAGATTAATTTAATCTAATCCTGCCTAAAAGAATTTCAAGAGCCGAGGCTATTGAGGATTCTCTCTTGTTCTACATTAGCTTTGTATTTCAAGGAGGTGTAATTAGATACCTGTTTTCAAAGTTTGGAAGAAAGACTAAATCACCAATACACTGTGTGAAACAATGAGAAATCCAGAGGATTAAGAAACTTATGTGACACATATCCCAACCAATAATGAAAAATAGTCACGGATTTACTATAAAAGAAAAGTAGTCAACTATCGTAATGCTAAGATTTTGCTTTGTAAATATATTCCCATGAATTATTTTTTATATATCGAAATTAAAATAATATTATATTTTCTTCTGTCAAAGTTTGACCTATGTTATTTTAAAATATTAGTTATCACTCTAGTTATAAAATGTTGATTGAAAATTGATATCAAACTAACAAGAAGAGTTTATGTAATTCCCATGTCTGTATATTGAATATCTTTTAAAATGTTCTAAAACAAGTGATATCAAATGGCATATATTTTCTTTTATAGTCTAATAAGCTTCGTGAGGTTGCAGAAGGTAATGCACATTTGTATTAATTTGCAACTAGTGCGTGAAAATCTTTCACTAAAACTGTTAGTGTGTCAACAGCTGTAAATATAACTTTGAAATGGTTTCTATACGCATTAGAAAAGCCATAATAAAACGAAGCTTCAAACTATCAGCATCAAGTGTAACTTCAAACAGATTTAGATTGGTAATGACACTCTCCTCTGTTTTTACTGACAACTTAAAATTGCAGGAGACAATAATTTAAGTGATAACTAACTTTACATAAACTTTTTGGGAGTAAATTCACAACTAAGGAGACGCAGCTTTTTCCGGAGGTTTCTCTAAAAACTAATTTTATAAAACGACGTGTTCCGAAGGTTTCTCTAAAAACTAATTTTACAAAACGACCTGTTCCGAAGGTTTCTCTAAAAACTAATTTTACAAAACGACCTGTTCCGAAGGTACCCTAAAAACTAATTTTACAAAACGACCTGTTCCGAAGGTACCCTAAAAACTAATTTTACAAAACGACCTGTTCCGAAGGTTCTTTAAAACTAATTTTACAAACGATCTGTTCCGAAGGTTTCTCTAAAACTAATTTACAAACGATACCTAGTTCCGTAAGGTTTCTCGAAA